CTGAGTCTCTTTGCTTGGTTCCCTTTTTTTTTTTTTTTAATACCAGGGATTGAACCTCGGGTCCTTGCACTTGGCAAGGCAGGCCACCGAACCACTGAGCTAAATCCCCGGCTTGGTACATTGTTTTTCTAAATGCCTTATTAGAAGTGAAAAGGTGGTGGTAGAAGTTTTTTTTAGAGAATAACATTGATAAAACTAAAATACCTACATACATTTGGATGTTCAACTAAGTGATTAAGTTAGAAAGTAAAGGGTATATCTACTGAAACTAGATGGCTATAAAATAAAAGCACCTAGTACTATACTTACTGATCATGGGCGGTAAAGTAAGTTTGCTTTTTTGCTCTTCCAACTATTCTAGGAAATTATGGTCCAGGAGGCAGTGGAGGAAGTGGGGGTTATGGTGGAAGGAGCCGATACTGAGCTTCTTCCTATTTGCCATGGGTAAGTAGTCTTTAAGTTTTACAATTAATATTGTCTTGGGAGTCCTAGCTGCAGGAGTAAAGCTTTTTAGGAACATGTTATCTTTCCTTAAAGTCTGGTTAGATGGATAATTTCATAACCTATTTTTTTTTTACTCTTTACTTCTGTTGAAACAGGCTTCACTGTATAAATAGGAGAGGATGAGAGCCCAGAGGTAACAGAACAGCTTCAGGTTATCGAAATAACAATGTTAAGGAAACTCTTATCTCAGTCATGCATAAATATGCAGTGATATGGCAGAAGACACCAGAGCAGATGCAGAGAGCCATTTTGTGAATGGATTGGATTATTTAATAACATTACCTTACTGTGGAGGAAGGATTGTAAAAAAATGCCTTTGAGACAGTTTCTTAGCTTTTTAATTGTTGTTTCTTTCTAGTGGTCTTTGTAAGAGTGTAGAAGCATTCCTTCTTTGATAATGTTAAATTTGTAAGTTTCAGGTGACATGTGAAACCTTTTTTAAGATTTTTCTCAAAGTTTTGAAAAGCTATTAGCCAGGATCATGGTGTAATAAGACATAACGTTTTTCCTTTAAAAAATTTAAGTGCGTGTGTAGAGTTAAGAAGCTGTTGTACATTTATGATTTAATAAAATAATTCTAAAGGAAATTGTGTAATTATAGACTTTTTATTTTAAATAAGTTAAGGAGTGGGTAGTATAATTAAGGTCCATTGCAAAGCTGTTGTTAACATTTGTGTAAGATAAATGCTGGTCAGATATAAGTGTGTTGTCTGCAATTCATCAGGATTAAATTATCTAGATAACTTAAGGGATATCTCTGCAAGGAGAAACACCTTTTTAGATCTTTTAGATGCTGCTTCTTCAATGCAAGGAAAGGAAATAACCCCAGCGAGGTACTCTTCAGGGACACAGGTCTAGTACAAGAGAACTGTTGACGGCTACTAAGTTCAGCTAGTCTTTAAAAAACTGTGCTGTTTCTACAAAACTTTAACCACAGTAGTTTATAAGGATGCCAACGAAAGCTGAGGGTGTAGAGCAAAGTAGTGCTAAGCTTCAGTTAAACTTCTTTAGGTAAGATCTTATTTACTTTTTCTTTCTTAATTTTCCTCCCTAAAAGATTAAACTAATATCTCTTCAATGCTCTTTCAGTATAGTGGTTCTACGTAGTTTAACATAGCTACAAATTGAGTTTAACAATTTATAAACTCAAGAGAGTATTTAATAAACCCTGTTTTCCAATCTGTCATTTACTTAAAATTATTTTGGTTGTGTTTCCCCTTTTTTTCCTTCTTTCCCACCCCTTTCCTCTCCATGAAGATTCAGGTGCTTAACATATCATTTTTTTCCCTGCTGGAATTTTAGCATTGATATGAACCATGGACAAGTATATTCTGCTGCCACAAAGACTGTAAAGTGCTTCATTTCAACAGCTGAGGCAAGCCAAGTGATCATTAATAAAGCTTTTCTTGGTTCCTTCAGTGGTGTTGGTAGTAAAATGGTAGGTAAAAGTTAGGCTGAAAGTTGAATAAATCAGATTTCCTGTCATTACACCCTTGTGTATTCACATTTCTTGGGTCAAGCATTTTGAATGAACTAGGGTTTTCATTAAAACGGACATTTTGTTCTGTTACTTTGATTCTAGCTTTACATAATCAGGATCATGCTCACCTAGAAGGTAGGGTGAAATGGTTGGATCTATTTTCAGAAATTAGTTTATACTTAACAAGTGAAGTTCCTACATTAGAAATCTTGTATGTATTCATTGTTAATGGCCAGGTGAAAATGTATTTAATTCTTGCCCAGTGTCTTACTGTAAACAGAACTATAGGTTGACTGCTGAAATACTACTCTCAAATTTCCTGGCTTTATTGCCTTTTCAGGATTGTAATATTCAGGGCTTATTCTGTATGCAGCAGAGTGTCTTTTTGATCTTAAGACCACCACTGAAGTTATTTAGGTTCTTTGGACAAACATGATAAACTTCTTCAGATACTTTTTTTTTCCTTTGGCAGGAAGGTGTCTTGCTGCAGGTAACTAATGAAGAAGTGGTCAACCACAGAGTCTTCAAGAAATAAGAAATTCTGTACCATCTGAAAGTAGTTCTTGGTGCCTTCATTTAAGAAGCACTTAAGATTAAAGGGAAATGTTTTTGATAAACAAAAACTTGATTTTAGTACAGGTTCTTGATTAAAAAAATGAGTGTTTGTAAAATAACATCAGCTAGAGATAAATGTATCGTGTTTTTAAATTAGGTTGTGTGAATAGACAGATAAATTTCTATTTTAAATATAAAATTTATAAAATAAATACTTTTATATGCAAATATTTGGTGTAATGCTTACACATGAAATGTGTGAAACTTGTTCTATTAACATGTAGCTGTCTGCAAGATTGCCATCCCCTAAATTTTTAAAGCAGTTTGCACAAAGCTATGCATATTCTACTTTTTGAATATTAAGAGTCAAATGAGAAGAGCATTGTGGACATTATTTATTGTCCTTAATAAAATGCTATTTTTTATGCACTGTATATTCAGTGTTTGAATACTGCTACTTTGCTGTATCTTTGATATTGGTGGTGGCTTTTGAATTGATGGATTTTAACCAGCTAGTGCTCCATAAACTGGTTTGTGCAAAGCACTGAAACAAAATTGGAAAATTTGTCAAATGTCAGTCAGTTCTATTGCAGTTTACACTTCACATGTGAACATCAGTGATTATCATTGGAGTTAGAGCTTTCTGTATCACATTTAGTAATGGGGACCATCTCTAGATGATTGTCTAACTTAAAAGGTGAACAAAGTTGTGTTTCCTTTGGTTTTGAAAATATCACAGGTAAGTCAAATAACAGTACTATAAGCTTGTATTCAAAATAATGTGCATCTGTCACCAATTGCACTTGTCAGAATACTTGGTTTCCTCTACAGAGACATTTTAACTTTGAAGAAGCAATCAAACTGGTCTAATAAAGGTGCAAAATATTGAGAACAAACACTAGGTTTGAGTAACTGGCTAACTGGAGATAAAGGTTTACGGCAACTAATGCTGGATAGTGAACACAAGGTGCTTTTCCCAGTTACAAGTAGAAGGGAGTGACAGATGGTATGGTACCTTTCTTTATTTCAGGTTTAACATTGCAACAGTAAACTTGCTTTGCATCTGAGTTCATTCACTTACAGGCGTAGCCGTGATTGTGGATAAAAGCTCAAACTAGCATAAAGGACAGGTTGGAGAATTTACATCCAAAAATGAGTGAAAATTATTAGCGCTTATCTCTCCCTGGAGTTTGTAATATCCAACATTGATCGCCATGTGGTTATTTTCTATTGATCTGATGTGTTTACTGTGACTCTAAACATTGGGAACCAGCTTTGAATGCAGTTCTGTATAAATATGTGAAAAACTGCTTCTGTAGAAAATCTTTGCTCCTGTGGCTTATATCCCTGTTGGATTGATAAGTCATGGTGTTTCTAGCCTCGAGGTCTTCAAGAAAAGTCTTAGGACACGTAAACCACGTGTTTGTCCCATTTGAACATTAGGAGCTCACATCTATATAGCTGTTTGACATAGTATGCTTACAATAAGAGTTGGTGCTTTATAGACTGCAGTTCTTAGGTGGGGGGTTGGAGGATTTACAGGTACTGATGGAAAGCCAGGCAAGGTAAGTGGAATGAATAGTGCTGTGGTGGGGTTGACTTTAAATCCTAAATGAAGACTCCATATGTAGGCTCAGCTCCTTATATTCGAGAGGTCAATCCACATAGATTTCACAAAAAACATGGATCACACCTGTGAAGGTGGTCACTTGGGTGTTACGTATTGGGTAGGAAGTGTGAGAATTTTAAGGGATGCAGTAGCTGTGGACTGCTAAATTCGGTTTCACTTTGATTCCATTTGCCTAGCTTTTTGTGACATGAACTATAACAAGTGAGCACTATTGTACACTGAAGGTAAGTTCAGAATTTGCTGAGGTGCTTATATTAAAAGTGTACTTGAAACCACGGGTGAAGTGGTTTCAACCCCATTAAAGTGAATGGTTCCTGTTCTGTGAGATTTTTCAGTGAACTAGATGAGGGTCATAGCAAATAATCTTTGTGCATCTGCTAATTTAAAGATAGTTGAGGACTGCAGTCAGTTCATACTTCCTGAATCCAAGATGCTCAGGTACAACAACCAGGAACTAGCCATTGTGTAACAATTAACCTTGGTTGAACATCCCTCCATAATCAGGGGCTACTAAAACAACAAATGGTTTTTATCAATTATGAATAAACTGGGCAAGTAATAACATCCTTTGGTGAAAAGCCCTGTCAGGCTGGTCAGTTTGTTGAGGAAAACTAGACTTTGGTATTAATATTTAAAAACATTTGCTGGCAAGCTTTAGAGCTTGAAAACAACCAATAAACCATTTCTGTAAAATAAGTACTTTTGTCACATTTCACATTCTAATCTTAACACCCTTGATTCTGATTGCTCACTAAAATTTCTAAATGCTTTGGGCAAGAACTTTAAAATCTAGAGCTGTGACCATTCTCATTTCAAAATCCATTTCTGGGATTGCTTGGCTTTTTTATGTTCATTGCTTTACTATTTTGTTCTTGAAGCTAGCTACCTTTTCTGCATTTTAAATAAACACCTATCATGGTTTCAGTATTTCTAATTGGGTTATCCATTAGCCTCTACTATTTGGTTGCTTTAATATGGTAGAAATAAAAATACTTTGGTTTTTGTTTGAGACAGGGTCTCACTATGTAGTTGAGACTGAGCTGGAACTCACTATGTAGACCAGGTTGGTCTCGAACACACATCAGAGTGCTGGGGTCACCCGGTCACCCAAATACTTTGGGATATGAGATTGTCCTGACAAGCTGGTTTTGATTGGGGGTTACGTGGTATCAGTTACTGCTACTGCTGTGCTAGATAATCACTTAGTGGGTATTTGGGGAAGGAGAAATCTTGACATTTCTGTATAAAAAGTTCAAATATGAAATTTTATTTTCAAACATTTGGAAAATATTTACAAAAATTAAAGCTTTCATCGTAGTGCTAAGTGAGAACCATATTTGCAGTTAATTAAAAAATATACCCCAGTGTCTGCTTTTTGGAGTAGCCACTATTAGAGGTGTCTGCAATAGAAATGGTATATTGTGGCTTCCCCCTCAATTTCTCGTTAACAATGATTCCTAAACATTAAGTCATGTGATGCAAGTAGCAGGAAAATTCCCAAGTCAGTTTAGTTTATGACCCAAGTAAGTTTCTGAATGTTGGTTATCCACAGAAATGAAGTCCATCTTCAACTTCTATTTTTTCTCTTTTCCTTTTGGACTGGGGCCACCAGTTCTTTTGGTACAATGGAAACAGTTCCATCCTGGCTGCACTGAAGTATATACTGGTTTGGATTAACGGGCCTACCTTGGTCATCTGTTAACCTGCTAAAAAGGTCATGATAAAGGTCATGCAGTTTCTGTTTAATTGTATTAATAGCTTTGTTACATTGGGCTTGCTCTCTTTCAAGGGTTTCCTTTCTTGCCTGCAAGTTGCATACTTCACCTTCTAAATTTAAAATTATTTCTAATTTGCGTTTACGACAGTTCTGAGCAGCAACTTTATTTTTCCCTCTTCGTCTGATGTCACGCATCAGTGAGACTTGTAAGTCTGTCAGATAGTCCCTGCTTAACATGCTGTTGAAGGAATCAACAGGCATGCGGACAATTTCTTCAACAGAAAAAGGGATATGTAGAGCTTTAGCACGCCGTTCATCACGGCTCAAACTTTTGTCTGTGTCACTGAAGTACTTACTCATTTTCTGAGATTCCCCAGATGTTGAAAAAGATTGAGAAGTGGGTTCTTGTAAGTGGTAAGTGTGATTATGAAATACAAAATTTTGGAGACTAGATTCATACATGTTACTGGGTTCTGGGCAATAACCACCAACAGCCCCTTCTAAATCATGCCTGGAAAGACTTTCAAGGTCACTAGTATAACCTATAGCACCTTCATTACAGGTAGAATGAGAAGAATTAGACTTGATGATGGATGTGTTACTGTGGCTCAAATCTAATGACAATCCGGAATCAGAATCTGGTTCTTGAAAAAGCTGAGAAACTGACATTGGATCAAAACCTTCCACAGCCAATGATACTAAGTTTATCTCATCAAATATGTTTGCTTCGAGGCCATACAGAAGATCTTGGCTTGTTAGATTCCTCATCTGATGGTCAGCAGATGGATGAAATTCTGTCAAATTAGTATCAGGAAGGGTCTGCAGAAATGGTTCTTGTGCCCGTGAAGTCCTTGTTACTGAATCTCTTCTAAATGTGTTGGGACACAGCAACATGGCTTCATGAAGATTTACATCATGACTTATGGCTTGGCTAAAGTTTATATTATGTGCTGAAGAATTCATACTGTCACTGATACTACCTTGAAAAGGAGTATCTTCCAATGAAATGTCCTGAAAAAGGATGGAAATAAGACACTTCAGTATACAACAGCCTATTTCAAAAACAATTCTATTACATAATACAAGTTGCCTCACTTTTGCCAATTTTATACTAAAGGATGTGCTGCTGGCTATGAATAATACCCTAAAGTATAGGCAATACAATCTGATATAAGCCCAAATTAGCATATACTTAGAAGGAAAAAGTAAAAATTTGATTAGGTTAGAATTAGTGGTCTCACTTTGTTACTAAGTCCATAAATACTAACCCCTGGCAATCTACATATTGTAGCTCAGGGATAAATGATCTGGTAATTATTTGGTGGAGGGGAGAGGTTTGTAAGCATCGTAAATTATGACTGACACTACAAAAACTTGATTTCAATACCTCTAAGACTTTGGGAGGCAACTGGGGATTTAGCTCAGTGGTTCCAGTGCCTGCTGCACAAGCACAAGGACCCGAGTTCGATCCCTAGTACCAAAAGTATTTGGAAGGATTTTACATACTTGATTAATTCTATGAAATTAATTTTGTATAAGAGGCATGTGGGCCAGGGATATAGCTCAGTGGTGCTGTCCCTTGGCAAGCACAAGAACCTCGGTTTCATTGTGCGCACGCGCGCACATGCACGCATGCATGGGGTGGTGGTGGGGTAAGGCCTATGCTTAATGACCCCCTTGATGTTAAACACTGCATTATGTATTACATCAAGTTACTGTGTCATCCAAGTAAGAAGATTGTATTTATTCACGTAAAGGTCACTGCAGATCATAATTCTGTAAGGATAAAACTCAAGATCCCAATTACCTCCAGAGAATATTCAGGCTGTGATGAAAGAAGATGAAATAAGTCTGTATCTGTTGTCCCATTGAGATGTCTCTAGGGGGAAAAAAATGCATCATTCTTCAGACAAAAGACAAGCTGTCTGGGACTTTAAAGACAACCAGGTCCTCTATAACTGGATGATTTATCCCTATTACACAATTTTACATAAATTTTTATCCTTTGTAGTACTCTTGGTGTTTTAATATGCACAAAGTATAAAATCTTATATCAGGACCTTAAACTCCAAACTCCACCAATTTTTGCCCTAATCGATGTCTTTGGCTACTACTATTCAATTCCACTTTATTATTGTCCATTAGTATCCAGACCTGACGGCTACATAATTATCCATACGTTAAAATTATCCGTATGTTATTAACTGCCTCATTGGTTGGTTCATCTAATTCCTGTCTTTAGGGTTTAGCTTGTTGGAATAACCTCTAAAGATATGAAAAGTAAATTCTTAGTTTTTATATTCTAGAATACTTTGCCTTCTTATTTAAATGATCGATTACCTGTTAAAAATACTAGGCTTAAGATTTTTTTCCTCAGTACTTTGTCCTAGGGCATTTAAAATTTGCCATCTGATTATTTATAGCAAACATTTTTTCCTTAGATAAATTTAGGTTTTTTCCTTAGTTTCTGATGCTCTCACGTTGCTATGCCTGAGATTTCATTTGCTTGTATTTGTTTAGAGTTCTTACTCCTTTAAACTGAGGACCATTTTAATTCTAGAAACATTTTTCTACACTTCTGTTAAAATTTTCTGGTTTCTGCATCTAGGAGTTCTATTAGGAATAACGATTTTTTCTTTCATATTTTGCATCCTCCTCTGTGTTACACTCTGGGTCATTTATTTGGCTTCTAATCTCTCCACTCTATTTTTGTCGTTTTTTTGAGACAAGTCTCACTGTGTAGTCCAGGCTGGCCTCAAACTCACAGTAATCCTGTCCTAGCCTCCTGAGTGCTGGGGGCTTCTACCACTATGCCTGTAACATAAATCTTTTCTATATCCACTTTTATGATCTATTCTTGTCTCGCAAATTTTTTCTTTTAAAGACTAACTTTGGAGTACTTTTTAGATATGCTTTTTTTTTCCCTTTGGTCACATGTTGACTCATGGCTAACCTGAACTTAATAATTTTTTAAAGGGAGCTTATGTTTGTTGGAAGCCCTTTATGGATTTATGTTTTTCTGCCTAAGTATCAATGTTTATAACATTTTCTAAATTTTAGGTTTTTGGCTTTAAGATTCTTCGTGGTAACCATAGTGTAGATTCAGACCCTGTAGTTTTGAGGCCCCTTTCAATTTGATTCTAACAGATGAGTTGTCCCAGTCCATACTTCTTGGACATGAGATCCTTAACATATTTGAGATTTTAGGAAGCCCACATTCCCCCAAGCATGGGCTTGAGAGACTCGTGTCCCATCCACTAAACTCAGTCTCTGTCATATTTGATTCCAATTCTTTGAGACTTCAACTTCAGTACCCAATCACCTTAAATTCTAAATTTGAATTTCTTCATTATTGTATCTACCAAATTCCTTTTCTTCTGAGTTATGTTAATTCATTTAGGTTATCTACATTTTTGGTGTGTGCAGAGGGAGTATCTTGTAGTAATTCATAATCCCGAATGAAATACCTTTGTTCTGCATGTCACTCTTGCCCCCTAAATATTTTAGGGTTTCCTCTTTTTTTAAAAATTCAGACCAGTTGGGTGTGTGTGTGTGTGTACAAAATATATTGTCTTTTCTGCCAAACACCCTGAGTTCTATGAAGCTGCATTTTTTCAAGGCCCGTATTATGTTAGATTTTGTCTATGCATGCTATAGGACTATTAAGTTCAAGCTAAGTGGGCAGCTATGATTTCTTCTCTGCCCTTATTTATTGGAAAAATTACACATCTGAGTGCATAACAGACTTCTTGGCCAAATGGACTGCTGTTTAAAATGAGTCCTTGTTTCTTAGTTTTCAGAAGCATTCTGTTCTCTGTTAACACTCCTAAACTTGGCCTTAGTCCTTGGACAACTACTCACCAAAATTTGCTGATGGTTACAAATGAGAATGGAAATCAAATCCAAAAACAATGTGAGGTGGATAAATTTAAGCATATAATGCCAAAGAAGCCTTAATTAAAATATGGAACTATGGGTATGAGGGCCATTTTGCTTGAACTGAATTTAAGAGATTTAGGCTAGTCAAAAGATGTGTTTTATTTTTTGGTTATTCCCTTAAATGCATAGGAAATGGAAGGCTCAGGGGCTAAGCTCTCCCTACCAGGCTCTATAGCCCAGGTTGGGTGGTGTTTCCCCACAGTAGATAAAAGTAAATGGGAGGATAAGAGGAGAGAATGATTTTCTAAAACAAAGCGTCTCTGTTGAGAGATCAATTCTAGTTATTGGTGATCTTCAGATTTCCTTCTGTACAAATGGTGCTAACAGCTTCAGAAACCTGCCCTAACCTTAATCCCTTCAAATGTCTTCAGAATCTCTTCAGAGTACCCCTCAAAAGCATTGTTTGCAGACAGCAGGTGACAAATTTTCCTGTCTACCACACCTGAGAAATCACACAGAACAATTCTGAGATCCATGATTTTACAGAACTTGGCCATTTTAAAATATAATTTTTTAAAATTTGTTTTTTTCCTTAAGTTTACATAAATATAGACAGCTGAACCATTAAAAAAATTAATCCAGCCTGGTGGGGTGGCACACACCTGCAATGAAAGAACTCTGAGAGGCTGAGGCAAGAAGATCCCAAGCTTGAGCCTCACCTGTGCAATTTAAACAGACCCTCATCTCAAAAGGGGTGGTGGTGGTAGTGCTGGGGATGCAGCCCAGTGCAAAGGTCCTGGTTCAATCCCCAGTACTGCCAGAACAAAACAAAACAAACATTAAGAGTCACACTCAGTTTGATTTAGATTTCTGAGAAATCATTTGTAAACTTCCTAAACTTTATATAATATAGGAACAAAGTTCCACTTTAGGTCAAGAATTGATTATATTTTACACAGAGACCACTAAAAATTAATACACATTTGTAAGAGACAGTTTAACACAGGGAACTATGAAGCTCTATTTCTCTAGTGGGAAGAATTTCTTCAGATTACATGTTTTACATGTTCATTAACTGGCTACAGTCTAAGTACAGGCTTAGGTAGGAGATAGAAAAATAGAAATGTCTTTTTTTTTTGGCGGGGGGACTGGGGATCGAACTCAGGCCCTTCCTTGTGCTTTGAAGGCAGGTGGAGGGACCACTGAGCTAAATCCCCGACCCTCTTGTTTTCTTTAACAAACTGAAAGCATCTACTAAATACCTTAACAAAAAGGCCAGCAAAAATATTGTCAAAGCTATTGTATGTAATGTGTAGTTTTCAGTACACAAAAATAGTGCGTAAATGCAGAATATAAACAGGATAAACATGGGATGTAATACAGGAACAAAAAGGTAACAATGAGAAATGCTACTTAGAACAAAGGCACTGAAGCCTTGCATTGAGTGATTAATGTGTTTCTGGAAACTTTATCCAATTTTATGTCTGTTTAACATCAAATTGTATTTAAACTCCAAGAAAGCTCCAATTTTCATCTATCTCAATATTTTGAGTGTTGTTCATTAAATATGTAGTAGTAAGTTACTAAAGGTAATTCAAAGAAGTAAAGAGAACACTTTTAAGAAGCCAAAGGGAGTAAAGGCAAAGACATATCAAGGAGAAAAAGTAAGCAATAGTATATGGTACTATACAATTCAGTGTTGAAGTGATAGACTGAAAAAAAAATCCTTTCCCTCATAAAAGACAACTGCAAGGCAGTCAAGAAAGTGTTGCCTTCTTCAAAATCTTTCAGTATATGGCAAAGAGGCACTGGCTTGGTATGTGTGTGTGTGGGTGGGGTATAAAGCCACACAAAAGGTACATGACTGAGGAAAAGCACAGACAGCTGCCAATACTTCTGTATTTTAAAGTAAAATGCTAGGCTAAGATTGAGGATTATGAAAGGGTTGAAGCTAGAGAGATTAGGAAATGAAATCTGAAAGGTAAGAGGCAAGGTCAAATAAAGAGCTATAGTTAGCAAAGGGACTGAACTGAAGAATGTGAAGAGTGTGTGTCCAGGACCATATGCTAGACTGCTACCAAGTGGCTGAAAGGGTGACCTGGAGAGGTGAGAAAGTCACTGAATATTCATGAACCCTAAAGGATCAACTGGGGCTAGAGATGCATTTGTCCTTGTCAAGAGAGTAGGGCAGGTGAAGAGGAACCAGCTACCTGGCAAGGATCCCCAAAGAACCTACAAAATGAAAGTGTCTGTTTAAATTACAACTGCACATCTGTTAAAGTTTTAAATGTATCCCAGTCAGAGAAGGGAAAAATTGGCGGGTTGATACCCATTAACACCTTTCCTGAGTTCTTATGACCAATACTCGCAGGCTCAGAGAAGGTAGCTTAACCAGCAGGGAAGGACAAACTGGGGAAACAGGAGGCTCCACGCACTCTTCTCCAAACTAATCAGCCTTCTGAGTGTAGCAGATGAGATAGAAAGTAGTTGAATTTTACTGAGTTTTAGTTTTTCAGAATGACACTGGAGTATCTTTGTCAATTGCACTACAATGACTAGTGGGATGTTTAATCTGAGTATCTAGAAATAATGAGGCCTTCCCTAGATGTCACCCATGATGCACAGAGGAACTAGTTTCCTTAGAACGAGTTAGAACATGCTGGAAGGGGCAGAATAGTGGGTAGGCAAAGAGAACAAAGCTGTTTCTGATTTTATTCCATAAAATAATGTTTGATGACACGTTACACAATCGACTGCAGTGCTTGTGGGCTGTCTGAGAATGGCCTAGGCCTGGTGTTCTCTGGCCTCCAAGGGTGCTCAAGGCTCAGCCCCAAACTCTATCTTTTGGGGAGGAGACATGCTGAAACATGTCAAAGACATGTCAAAGGGCATGACAGACAACCATCAAGGCAAGACCTGCAAGGTGGAACTGCCATGCGGTTAAAAATCTGTGGAGCCCCCAGTCCTGTCTCTGGAGCACCTGTGTGACAAGCTTGTGAGCAAGACCTCACCAGGGCTTAATAGAAACCAGAGTATGGTCCATGTGAAAAAAGGTGGGGGAAGGCTTAGGAAGAATCTGCCCCTTCAGCCTGGCTCCTGCAGTTCATCTTTCTATTCTTCTTCTTTTGGGCTTAGATAATGAGGAGCCAAGGATGTAGCCCATTGAGTTGGCCCCTTAGCAGAGGACAGAGGCACAAAATAAGATCCTGGAGGCCAATGGATGTAGCCCATTGAGTTGGCCCCTTAGCAGAGGACAGAGGCACAAAATAAGATCCTGGAGGCCAATGGATGTAGCCCATTGAGTTGGCCCCTTAGAAGAGGACAGAGGCACAAAATAAGATCCTGGAGGCCAATGGATTGGCTTGGCCCATGGCAGACTGAATGAAGATCTGAGCCCAAGCTTTCTTTCCTGGACCTGACCAGCTGTTTGCTTCTCAGGTAGCTGCCTAACAATCCCTGGGTTCAGAATGCCAGTCTGCTCTTTCTCTCTTATCTTTGCAAGCATATCTAGCAAAAACCTGCTATCATATTCCTGGGGGCTATGTGTACATATACAGAAAATCTTGAGAGTTCAGCCAGAGAAAACAATTGCTGATTCCTTTGTAAGTCTAATTATTGCTCCCATAATTTTGTTTTCCTCCTGTATCACATAGCTATTAACAGAGCACAACTACACAGAAGATTAATTTCTAACATCATCTGTCAATGCCACAAAATCTGCATGAAAGCCAAAATGGCAAGGCAGGATTGTTCTGATGTACAGTACTTACTTCATTTCTAGATTCAGTAGTCTTTGCTACTTCCCAATCAGATTCATCTGCTGTTTTGTTTTTATCTTCATCATTCTGCTGCTGTAGTGATTTCTCCTGAGCTAATACTGTTTCTTCATTCTCCTTCTGCCGGGAACTTTGAGCCACAGATTCATACTTATCTCTTAGTACCACATTCTCCTATAAAAGGGTTCAAGAATATACTTAGTAGAAATTTGTATCTCATCAAAGTCTATAAAATTGTACTTACTATTTAGTGATCATGAAAACCTAGAAGTAAAAACCTAAGGCCTGTACATTTCATCACTTTAGTATCAAAAAAACATTTAATTTAGAAACAAAGGCCAGTCACATGCCCTGTCTTAAGTATTCATTCTGAGACAGGCTATTCTAATCTACATAATTTAAATTATATGCATTTATTAAGCCTTTGATTTAAAAATTTTTTAAATCAATGTTGCCACCTGACAGTTTTTATTTGGTTCTCTGTTGAAACAGGATCATACACCTAAGTTGGTGGGAAATATAAATATACAAAAATCTGGGAAGTGTTTTATAAACTAGTAACTGGTGTTTTCTCTGGAAGGCAAGGTGGGTTAGGGAAAAGCGGAGGAAAAGTTGACACTTGAGTGTGGACATTTGTAATGACTTGAGTATTTTATAATACGTAAACATTCCTATTACAATTTAGCATGTACTGCTTAGACTGACAGTTTCAACTATGATATTAAAAGCTCTCTGTGTACTTTTCCCCCTTTAATGTCAAGGTTTCTCAAAGCTCTTTCAAAGGATATTTTTCTGAATTCTAGAAACATGACACTAATTGGACTAACTTGAGGATAGCACCTCCCAAAATCCCACAAAAATGTTTATCTTTTAAAAAGGGGGGGCAAAAGTAAAAAAATGGAAATGTACAAATGCCACAAGCAAGGAGAGAAATCAAAGAGCAGCAAAAGCACTCTGATCTTGTGGTCCACTTGATTCTCCTGGCTTCTCTCTCCGTCCAACTGTGCTTAGCTCTGGCATATTCTGCCTTCCCTCCTGACACTGGGTCATTATTCGCGTTCCCAGTGCAGGCAGTCTCCACACGTACAACCCCACACATGTGCTCAAGGGTCGCACCCACTACTCCCCATTTTCTGCATCAACAATTGTTCCCTGTCTACTGGGAACTGTCATCAGCCTCCTAACGTCCACTGATCCTTTCCAACTTTAAAAAGTATCTGGTCCCTTACTACTCTGGATCTGTCCCATTTTTTTGCTTGCCTTTGGAACAAAATCCTCCAGCTATCTGGCTTCAATATATTCTCTCTCAAACCTATTCTAATGAGTTCCCACCGCTCCACTGAAACAGCTCACTGAAGGGCCTCCCAAATCTGAGTTTCCACACCCATCTAACTCATCAGCAAAATCTGATCAAGTTATGCCTCCTTCTAGAAACTGATATCCAAGTACCTCCCTCTTTATTCTCCTAGGTCACCAAGGGTTTTCTGCCTTGTTAATTCTTCCTCTGATCTCTAAACATAGCAATGCTCCAAGACTCAGTCCTCATGCCCACCAGGCACTGCCGCACTCTGCAGCCTTGGATGGGCTGCTCCTCTACCTGTGAAGTTCTCTCCACCTCCAACTCCCACCCACCTCATAGTTTCCTTCAGCTCTCTCTTCAGCTACTGGTATTACCATTTCATTTCCTTTCTTAACCACTTTTTATTAAAAAAAAAAAAAAAAAAAAAAAAAGCACCTCAGCCAGGAGTGGTGGCACAAAACTTCAGAGATTGAGGCAGGAGGACTTCAAGTTTGAGGCTAGCCTGGCTACACAGCAAGAACCCGTCTCAAATCAATAAATTCTAAAAAGCACTTCCCTAACATCTATGTCCCATATCTTGTTTTATTTTTTCCATTGTACTTAACACCAGCTGATACATTACTCTGTATTTGTTCCCAGAACAAGGACTCATCATAGCATCTTAATAGACATCCACTGAATAGCTGAACTCTTAGACACAACATCCAGACTGGTTGTGATCCTACTTTTGATGGATGGCTCTTGCCTGCAATTACAATGCTGATTTCTTCTTAAATTTAGGGGAGGAAAATAGTGGCTGCCACTCTTTTTACCTCTCTTCTTTTGCTCAAAGTTTCTTTTGTTAAACCTGAAGATTATCAGATTCAAAAATCTAGCTTCCTGAGGCTGACAACTTTGTTACAAATTCTGCTGTTAGTGAACAGAGGAACTCCTAATGTCTAAATTACATTATCTGCTTAAGAAGCATAAGCAAGGTGCCCATAGTTAATCCATAGTATGTGAGTTAATAACAGCATGCACAAACATGAGTCTGCAATAATACCTAAATACACAGGACTAATTCAAACCTATATGGAAAGTGATCATGAAAACATTAGCTTGAGGTTTATGGGCGGGGGCGGGTGGGGGAGGGAAGAGTGAGGTAAGATTGTTAAGGTATCTAAAATGGCCTGAGAACCTCAGGGAGAGAGACTGAAGGCAGAGAAACTATGTGACCCACAACACACTGCTAGAAGCCAAACAGGTAAAAAATCCTATCATAATAATGGATTGTAACTCACTGAGTAAAGAAGAAAAGAATGAGTCCACTTGAATATAAGCGACCAAGTATAATAGAGAAACTGACAATCTCTTCCTTACAGTGGGATACAACTAATAAATACAGAAGGATAATGGTGGAGCTAGAAAATCATCGATACTAAACTAGGAAGGAAATGTAAGATTTAGTAGTCTCAAAAATTTCATAGTGGATTACTTAATTACAAAAAGAAAACACTACAGGAGGAATCTTGGCAGGTAGCATCTTAACTCAAGTGTCCAAATCTGTCATCAAAATTATTGAAAAACTTTTCCAGATTAAGGATGACCAGACATGTGGTGACTAAATCCAATGTATGATCTCAATTAGATGCTGATCCAGGACAAAAAAGTAACTATTAAAGCACATTACTGGGGAAACAGATTTTGAAGATAGACAGTAGACTAGGTAATAGCTTCTTGTTAAATTTTCTGATTTTGATAACTGGGCATAGAAGGGAAACTGTTCTTAGAAAACGCACGCTGAAGTTTCTGTATATTAAAGAGATACAATGACTTTGTTTCAGAAAAAAATTACACATTTAGCATTTGTACACATGTAATATTACATATGTAATACTTAATACAGAGAAATCAAATGGGAAAATGTAAACAGGTAGATGTGAGTAAAAGAAGTTTTACTCTTGCAATATTTCAATTTTTTATGTTTAAAATTATATTCAGGGTACGTTACCCTAAAAATCTCTACATAGTAAATTCACTTTGGCCAATGTAACAATAGAGGGTTGACCTGAATTATTCTTCCATTAAGCTTTCTGTTAATTTATATTCTCCCCAAAGGTATAATTATTGTTACTGCTTCCTTTGCAACATTTAAATTTCATATTTCATTTAATTGCTTCAACTATGTTTCCACAACATGAAAAATTTCTTCTAATGTTTTACTAATAAGGATGACATGTAGAGGTGTTTTTTGGATGTAATTCCAGTCCCAGGTAAATTTTTTACTTGAGATAACAGTCAACCATTTCTTTTTTGTTGTTGTTAGCTTTGTTTTTTGTTTTTTGAGACAGGGTCCCACTATATAGTTGAGACTGACCTGGAACTCACTTTGTAGCCCAGGCTGGTCTCGAACTTACAGTGATCCTTCTGCATCAGCCTCCCGAGTGCTGGGATTACAGTTATGTAATTTAGAGAATGCTTCTGAAAGCTAAGACTGGGATCAGCAATGACGGCAACACCATTGCAATTAAAAGTCCACTCTGCAGCTTAGTGTATAGTATTTTATTTGTTAATTTTAAAGTTTAGACAAGATTTTCAAGTTGAATGTAAATATCTTCTAAAGCAATCTGAAGAGAACCTAAAAGTCCAGGCAATAATTTTTCAAGTACGATGTATTTTCTAAATCTGCTTCTGGGAACTTGAATCAGGGGGAAGAGAGGGATCATGTTCTTCTGAGTCTTGTGATACAGTGGTTTTCTTCATTCAGAAATGTACTGTCCTCTATAAAACTCCCTAATCCTCAGATTTTAATGTTTCCATTTCATTTTTCAAGTTCCCATAACTTGGTAGTGGCTTAATGGCCATATCTGTGCCTCTGAAAGGTGCATAAAGGCTAATCTGAGATCCCCTTAAGGGAACAATTACATAAGTCAAGAGTTTTTGTCATCTTCATCAAGTTCTTCACTAGTGAGACAAGCTGAAGAGGGTTCCAGACATATAGAAGCATAATTTTGGCCATACAAAAACCTTAAGGTTTCTTCTGTTTTCCACGTGAAGTCTCTTTTAGAACTTTGTCATTGCAACTTTGCACCTGCATGGAGCTAGAGGCTGACCTAGAAAGTTGGTTTGATTTGGCAGATTTCCTCTTAAAATGCTCAGCATTGTAATTACTTATATGTACAAGAGTTGTTTCTGACGTACTGCATTTATTTTCAAAAATTTCCAAAGCTTTTTTTTTTTAAGATAGGGTGTCACTAGGTAGTTGAGACTGACCTGGAACTCATTATGTAGCCCAAGGTGGTCTTGAACTCACAACGATCCTCCTGCCTCAGCCTCTTGAGTGCTGGGATTAAAGGCGTGTGCCACCATGTCTGGCTAATTTCCTAAGCTTTTAATCTTTCATGTAAAGGCCTATTTCAAATCTGAGTTTTTAGTTTCTGAAAAGGAAGTTCACAAGCAGCAGTTTTCTACTATCTAATCTACAATTGTCTAACTGACTTCTACCACCATCTGTACTTTGAGTGTGGAGCTAGTTTTCTGACCAGCTCTTTTTCAGTATGCTTTTTTGTGTAGCTGTGGCCCTGTCTCCATTGTATTTGATCTGTTTCCTAGTAGAATGGAGGAAACATTCTTGCTCATTATGACTGCTAGTATCATTGCAGGTGCTAGAAAAACTAGATTCATGTTGCTTTGCAAAATGACCAGGATTATCAATATCTGATGTTTTTAATGGCTTCACTGAATGACTGTATTCCTGAATGGACATTCTGTCCATTAGCAACTGAAAATCAGGTTGTCTGTTATCTTTCTGAACCCATACTGGAGTTTTGGGAATTTGTGCTTCAAAAATTGTACATGCTTTGTAACAAAAATTGCTGCAAAAAGACTTTCTTTC